GACCAGGCAACCTTGGATTCGCCTTCAACATCGACGATATTACTTATGTTCGGAGAAAGTATACTTCAAAAGTGCCATTAATCTCTAGGCGATTAAATTGTTAAAAATTTTTTTGGGCTTGGATAATATTGCAGCATACTCATTATGCCCTAAATAGCCTAAAGGCCGTTACAATCTCACTTGCCTTCCCCCAACTCCCTGAAGAATGTCGGTATTAAAGGTTGCAAAAGCCCTGCGGGAAGGCGAGGCCGCCAACCTGCTTAACGCGACCATGAAATTTGTACAAATGCGTGAGTGTCTGCTCAACCGAAAGTGGCAGACTTTTCTTGCCGCCAGCCTAACCACTCTACTCGGCGGAGTCTTCGTCATCTTGGGCTATCGAGCCTTCACCCAACTCCTGGCAGCTTGGCATGCCAAACGGCAGCGCAAACGCTGGTTGCAGTGGTTTCGGCAGGCCGGATATCACCACCAACAGGACCAACAGCTGCTCAACCGGTTGACGCAAGTCGAGGCGAGCGGATACAGCGGCGCGTCGGAGGCCGAGCCTCGCAGCCAGACACCGCGTCTGGCCGGTCTTCTGGCCAGACGGGCAACGGTTGAGTCGATGTCGAGTGTCTCACTCGCCTCCACCCACGGCGATCCGTCGACCGCGGACACCGGAGTCGACGATGTCACGATCATTGAAGCGCAGGTTCCGCTGCACGAGGAGATCGCTGTCCACATCCTCAAGGCGTTCCGTCAATTCTTCTACAAGGTAGGTCCGACCAGACCCATTGAATGCGGCCTGAGGCAAGCCGGCAGACTCATCGGGGCTTTGTGGACTTCTGTGAAGGCAAACAGAAGCAATGGTTTGACATCGTTTTGGCAACTTGCTCGTGCCGTGAGAACGACCTCAAATCACATTGTAGTCCATTGCTAGGGGAGGCCCTAGGTCGCCCTGGCAACACAACAAAGTTGAAAATAGTAGTCCAAGCCAGTTCACTATCTAAACTGGAGGCCTCATCAACTTGATATTCTTATATGTGACTAACTAAAAGTAATATAAAATGCATTCACCCAATTTCGTTTAAGGTGATGAAGGACTGGTAGAAGAAGAATTTTTTCACAATGATATGAGTTGAGTTGACGTTTCTACTAGTCCCTTATCACTTCGAACGAAATCGGGTGAATACATATCATATTACTGATTTACTGGTAGTCACGTAAACAATACTTAATTCGAAAAATAAAAGTATAACAGTCGATTTTTATAGCAGATATGCGTTTGCTTAATCGACAATTCATTTAAAAGAATATGATATGACAAAAAGGCCTGGCCTTCCTTGAAACTTCACATTTGCCCTGTGACCCAAGAGGCGCTCGTGGCGGTGTAGCCGAGTGGTTAGCGTATCAAGCTGCCTTCCTGCACTGTCGCGGTTCGACTCCCGCTAAGGGTGTTGATAAGACCGATGCGAGTTCGAAACTGCAGTCTACCCTGGATGAGATCAACTTTTAGAAAAGTAAGGCTATGTGAAATTCAATGGAAACGTCGGCTCAATTTATATCATTGTGGGAAAATTCTTCTTCTAACAGTCCTTTATCACCATAAACGAAATTGGGTGAATACATCTCATTTTTATTTACTCAATTTTTAATATGGGATTAATTAGTTCCGATAGTTGACTAAAAATCTACTGGTCCACATGCTACGGGATGGCCTGATAAGCACAAAGCATATACATATTTGTGTCTTAAATTTTAACGAAGCTTAATTGAATAATATTATATCAGATGCTTTGAACTTATTTTATTGCTCTATACTTTATTTTTCAAATTATGTATTGTTTTCGTGACTACCAGTAAATCAGTAATATGAGATGTATTCACCCAATTTCGTTTAAGGGGATGGAAGAAATCGTAGAAGAAGAATTTTCCCACAATTATATGAGTTTAGCTGACGTTTTCATTCAATTTCACATAGTTTTGCTTTCCCTGGATGAGAACTACGTCAGCTCAACTCATATCATTGTGGCAAATTTCTTCTTCTACCAGTCCTTTATCACCCTAAACGAAATTGGGTGAACACATCTCATATTACTTATTTACTGGTAGTCACGAAAACAATACTTAATTAGAAAAATAAAGTATAGCAGTCGATTGTTATAGCAGATATACGTTTGCTTCATCAACAATTCCACCAAAAGAATATGATATGACAAAAAGGCCCAGCCTTCCTTGAAAATTCACATTTGCTCTATGACCCAAAAAGCGCTCGTGGCAGTGTAGCCGAATGGTTAGCGTGTCAAGCTCCCATCCTGCACTGTTGCGGTTCGACTCTCGCTGAGGGTCTTGATACGACTGATACGAGGTCGAAACTGCAGTCCCTCTTAGATAAGAATAACTTTTGGGAAAGCATGGCAATGTGAAATTAAGTGAAAACGTCAGCTCTACTCATATCATTGTTGGAAAATTCACCTTAAACGAAATTTGGTGAATACATTTCATATTAATGATTTACTGGTAATTACGAAAACAATAGTTAATTCGAAAAATAACTGAAAGTAAAATTTAAAGTAAATA